AGAAGTAGGGGGACTGGCTTTCATCCTTCCTTCCGTCCTCCCCTGGTCCACCTCCAGCCCCCAGGGATAAGCCCCAGACTTCGCCCTTCCAGTAAACGAAGCCTGAGCTGGGCCCTGGGCTGCCGCGCCCAGCAGCGGAATGTGGCCTTCAGAAGCAGGCCAGGCAGCCTGACCGGTGTGGCCGCGGAGTAGGTGCATTGTAGGAGGTGGGTTGCTGGAAGGAGAAAGGGGCGGCCACCCTCAGCCTGGCGCTGGCCTTAAGCAGCCAGGTCTCTAAACCGGCTGCACTCGAGCCTTACCCACCCTTTAGGACTGAATCTCCCTGAACTGCCAAGCACAGCTCAGTCGCTGCCCGCCCAGCCTGCTCCGTCCCAGAATGCAGGACCTGACTCTGGGGGCACTTAGGGCAGCCCAGCATCCTTCCACCAGCCCAGCCGGACACCTGGCCCACTGAGCAGGGCCTTCTGGCCCCTGCAGGTGTCTCAGAGCCACCTGACTCCCCGTTTCTTCCCAACAGGCAGGAGGTGCCTTAAAGTCCCAGCCCAGATATTGGAATGGGGTTGAGTTCAGACTCAGGGCCCCACTTCCCGTTCAGACTCCTCTTCCCAGCGCTGGGAGGGAGAAGGGGGGTGCCTGGGGAGGGGCGCCATTTTTGAAAGCTGGAAGCAAGGGAGGGAGGGAGGGAAGGAGAAACAGGAATTCCCTGCGTTTTTGATTAAACGTTTCAGGTCGGGCCTGCCCAGTTAACAGACCGTTAATTAAGCCGTGCACAATTCAACTGACAGGAAGGCCTGCGCACCCCACAGAGATGTTCAGGATTAGAGATGTTCTGAAAACCAAGCAGTCCATGGCAGAGCACCAAGGGGCACACCGGCTTCATCGCCTCTGCCTTCCAGGGTTCCACCTATGCCCTGGCCCTTTGAGGATGCCCAGGCCTGGACTCTCTCCCTGACCGGATTCGGAGCTGCCTCCGGCTGGCCGCGCCCACTAGGAGACCTGACCGCTCCTCCACCATCTCCGTCTTTTCTTCATCCCTGTGGGATGGATGCCCAGGCCTGAGCCCGCGCCCTGACCAGGCCAGCCGGGGCGCACAAGTTCTGGGGATCCTCTGGCAAACCAGAATCCCGAGGGCAGGTGCTGGGGACCCGGCTGCTGTTCGACTCTCTGGGTCTCGTCAGAGCGCCATACCAGCCGCCCTTCCCCGGCCTCCGCAGCCCAGGCTCCACGCCCGCTGCTACGCGGGGGCTGGTTCCTTGCTGCGGCGGGCATTGCGCGGCGGCGCGGCAGGACGCTGAGTGTGTGTGCGCAGCGCTGCCTATATTTACACCCAAAACAAAATAATTACACTTTTGTCGGAGGGAGAAAGCCAGTGATTAGGCGCGGGCTCTTTGCGGCAAAACAGTTTCTCAGTGGTACACCAGTATAATTTTTCACGGCTGGCTGAAATCAAAGAGGGGAGGTAATGAATCCGGCGAGCAATTTAAATTTACAATTTGTAACGCCGCCGCCGCCGCGCAGACCCGGCCGAGAGCGCAGCTCAGAGGCGCTCGCTGCGTTTGTTTAATGTTAAAGCCGCGCTGGCTCTTGGGGGCGGGGGGCGGGGGGTGGGAGAGGATGCCGAGAAACCGTTTGGCAGTGGGGGCGGGGTGGGGGGTAATGATCCACGTCGGGAGAGGACAGGCTGTGCTGCCCAAGACACCAGGCGGAGGGAAGGACGAGGGGCGCACCTCCCAGGCCCCCCCAGCGCGCTCGTTCCCCAAGAAAGCAGGCCACTCCTGGCCATTCAAAGGGAGGGGGGGTGCCTTCAGAGAGGCGAAGGGAGATACTCTGGCCTCCAGAAAAGCCCCACATTCCTGCTGGGCTGCAGACACCCGCCCCCCTCCCACGGGCAGGAGTTTCCTGCGAGGAGTAGGAGGAGGCAGTTGAAATGTTCTCATCAGCCTGCGGGAAGGTTAGCTCCAAATGCCAGGAAGAGTCCCCATTCCGGCCCGCTGCCCGTGTCCCGCACGGGCTGGAGAAGTCCAGAGAGGCGCCCTGCAAGCCTCAGCTCCACGCGCCTCCAAACTCCCACCCGGGGCGGGCGTGTGTGCTTCTTCGCCCGTAATTAATTACCGAACTCAAGGGGGAATATGCAAACCGCATATTACTAACTCTACAGGGCTTAAGTGATTGGAAACAGATTATTATCTTGTTTGTCTTTTGTCTGTTTTACTTATCCCGCTGCCGTCTGTCGAGTTGTAATGTTGATACTCTTTACTCTAGGAGGAAGATTTTTATATAGTAAATTCCATCAACATCTTGTATAAGTGACATTGCGTCTCCATGCATTACCCTGTTAAGACACAAGAGGTTTATTAGTTACATATAGGAGGGAATTTCGCTGCCTGGTCGCCATCTGTTAGCGCTGTTAGCGGGGGATAATTCGTCTAATAGTTGGTCTGCTCGCGTTTTTTGGAAGCTGTGCGCCAAGGAAGGTGGAGGGCTGGAGAGGGCAAAGGAGGCTTTCCTGCAGCTGGGCTGGAGTGTGGGGGTTCTGGACCAGAGCTGTGCTGTGCTGAGGCCCCCATGGCAAATTCAGGTGGACTATGACCTAGACAGCATGACGTAGACAGACAACTCAGCTACAGGAGGCAGAAGCCCAAACTAGGGCTTCTGGAACCCAAGTCTTACTCTCCAGCAATGGGGCATTCAGCCTCAGGTGATTCAAAACATCAGGCTCAGGGAGACAGGAGCTGCTCTTTGAGAGTGCCACCTATCCCTGGCATGGTTCCCCAGCTGCTAGGGCCTGGCTGTACTTTGGCATTTAAGTACATCTGGGAGGTAAGGGCCTTGGATTTGTCCCATATGGGGCACCAAGCATCCAACAGCCAGCAGGGTAGGCAAAGCTCAGGCTGCAAAGACACAGCAGGCTGGCCCTTCAGGTACCGGTGGGAGGATGTGGGAGGATGGCTCAGTGCACTTCGTCCAGAGCAGGGGAGAAGGCCATTAGATGGGGGCTTTTAACAACTGTGAGTCCTCCCCCAGCACCCCAAAATCTGTATGGTGCACGATGAGGATTGCCAATTGCAGCACTGAGCCATACACTGGATATGGATGCCCAGCAGAAAGGCAGAGGGAGGGAAATAAAAATAGAGTGAAACTGAGGAGGAAAGTGTTGGAGAGACATAGGGAAAGAGAAACAGAATGAGAACAGAGGCTAAATATAAGGAAGATATGGAGTCAGAGAGGAAGACAGATGTGGAGAGAACTCGGAAGATAGAAACCCCTGTGAAACAAAGACGGAATAGGCAGTGCAGCTGGCCTCCACTTTGAGCCTGGGTGCCTCCCTCCTCTTAGGTTCTTGTTTCCCGGGTCCCTGCCCCGCCCCGCCAGAGCTCTAGGACCCTTCACGCCCGAGGAACACAGGGCCAGGTGCTGCCAAAAACAGCAGTTTCATTTTGGGCTCCCAGAGCTGTCCCACCTGGGTCTGAGGGGACCAGGCGAGACCCATCCTGCTTGTTCCTGGGCGAACCCAGCTCTAACCAGCCACGCCGCTAAACTGTGTACAAGCCTGTCCCTTGGCAAGAGGAGAATGGACTAACAGCACCATAGGCAGAAGCTGCCTGATGGGGGACCTTGTGGGTCATTGTCCCACCCAGTGACCAGTTCCCTGTCCCCAGCCGGATCACCTTCCCTAGAGACCGTGGGGGACAGTGCTAGGCCCATACAGGAACAGGGGGATAAATAAGCATCTCTGTGCCTCCACAAATGTCCCAACACAGGCATCCACAAATCATGCCTATTGCAAATCACAAAGATAATGCCGCTAAGCGAACATACACAGACATACCCCAAAACACCCTGCAGAAGTCACGTAAACAAAAATACTGCTATCCACACAAATACACTAACATGTGGCAACGAGCACACCAACACAGGTCCAAAATTCTGCACTCACAAACGTACCCAAGCCAGTTCAACGCGTACAGAGGATCTCAAGTGCACACATGCTCTACATACAAACACATTCAGATTTGTTAAAGACCACTTTACATCAGTGTTAGCACACACATATACACAAATAGTCCCTCAAATGCATACACGGTGCAAACAACCCCACATTCACCCAGCGACAAGTAAGCATACACACACATACACAGACCAACAAAACCAAGAGTTCACAGACTAATGCACACAAATATTAGCAGAACCATATACAGATGCAAACACGAATGCACACACAAAAAAAGGCAGACGAAAATGTGCCCACATGATTGATTACTAACTATAAAGAGGCAAATATACACTAACAAATTCAATAAATGCACCCAAACACATGTTCACAGCCAATCTTGGCACAAACACACAATTCTGGCTCCAGCCATTGCACCCAGGGCCTACCTTCCCATCAGCTGTTAGCGGACTTTGTGGGAGCCACATGGAAAATCCCTGCCGTGTCCTCCCGGCCTCCCCAATCTGAGATGCCCAGTCGCCCTATTGGCCCCTTGAGAAAGGAGGTCTGGCTGTCTCCCGCCCCCTCCCAGGCTCACACACACCTGCAGTCACCCACACACACTCCCCTAACCCTGGGCGCCCTGCTAAGCCGCTCTTCCTGCTCCCTATGAGGGATGAACTTGCACACGCAGCCTGCATGCCCTGAGTGTTCAAGCAGCGCTCGCACAATCTCTAGCATTCCCTGCCTCGGCAGTGCGACCCCACTGACCAAGGTGCCGCCCGACTGGCTGACCTGGGATCTGGAAGGTGCAGCGAAAAAAGAAGAGACGTGGGGAGTCCCCGCCGCCCTGAATCCCCTCCTCCCCACATCTCCACCATAGCCCCATGGGTAGCAGGCTCTGGCCTGAAACTGCGGGTCGAACCTGGCCAAATGACACGCCCCCACCCCCAAACTGGGCCTGGGTCTGCACAAGGGAAAAATACCCAAGTCTTTGGACTCCACTCGCTCTCTCCAAAAGAAAGGCCCGGCTGGGCACCAGCCCCATGTATGACAAAAGAAGCCGGACCTGGCTCTGGGAGCCGGGTGAAGAGCGCTCTCGCAGCTCCAGGGCGTCGACCCCAGGGACGTGGGCGTGAGAGAGTCCAATCTGGGCAGGCTGAGCTGGGGAAGAGGAGGCGGGAGTTGGGCGCGCTGCAGGCCTCGGGCAACTTCTGCAAGTTCCGGGGATGGGGAAGGCGGTAGGGGTCCCTCCCCCAGTAGGCCCTGTAATTCTGTCCCGGTGTTTGTGAAAAGAGAGAGAGAGAGAGATGCAGTTTTCAGATCGCGCGGCCCCCAGCCCCAAGACCCAAACTGGAAGGTAAATACTTACTTAGCCTCCGAACCAGGTACAAGCTAATACTCAACAATACTGATGCCTTGTTTTTTTTGCTCTGTCCGGACCGCAACGCTGTAGCCAATTTAGATATGCTATAAATTTAAGAGGTTACCATGGCCACCGCGCGCCTATTGGCCGCCGGGCCCCCTACGTGCTGCGCCACGTCACCAAATCTGAATAAGGATGCGCGAATTAGGCGGCGGCCAGACAAAGATGAGGATCGGGACCGCTTGAAAGTGGGGGAAAGTGCCGGCGCCTCCGCCACCGGGGAAAGCCGCTCCGCAGCGCCGAGGCCATCAGCCACTCAAGACACCTGGAGGAGCCCGGAAGAAGCACTGGGGTGCGCGGCCCGGAGCATGAGGCTGTGACCGCCACGACTTGCCACCCTACCCCGGGCAGCCCAGCGCCAGGCCAGCGATCACGCAAGGACTTGCGCGGCTGAGTCTTGGTCCGAACCGGACTCGCCCAGCGGCGGCCGAGATAAGAGGCGGAGCGCAGCGGCGGGGCCCGGGGGCCCGAGGGCCGGGGGCCCAAAGGGAGGACAAGGCGGCCGGAGCCGCCGGGGCGCGGGGCTATGATGGTGCACTGTGCCGGGTGTGAGCGGCCCATCCTCGACCGCTTTCTGCTGAACGTGCTGGACCGCGCGTGGCACATCAAATGCGTTCAGTGCTGTGAGTGCAAGACCAACCTCTCGGAGAAGTGTTTCTCGCGCGAGGGCAAGCTCTACTGCAAAAATGACTTCTTCAGGTAAGAGGTCGTGCCGCCCTGCTGCTTACGCGCCGGTTCTGGGCGCGCTCCGCTGGGGCGCCGAGGAAGGGGAGACCACGAAACCCATCCCAGCGTCCCGGGCTCACAAGCTGAAATGAGGAGCGGGGCAGCTCACTGCTCTCCTCCAGTCCTTGGCCCAGGAAAGGCCCCAACAGAGTAAAGAGGACGCTGCTTGCCTGCTTCCTGTGGGCTCCTCCAGGCCGTCCTGGAGCCCGGTGGGGCAGGAGCCAGAAGCCCCAACCAGCTTGCTCCCCTCCCGTCTCTGCCCTTTCCCAGGGGCTGCCTCCCAGGCTGGAAGCTAAGCCCGGTTCTGAGAGAGGAAGAATTTGAGGAAGGCATTTTGCCAAAGTTAGGAGGCTACTCCCACCAGGCAGAGTGCATGAGCCCAGAGGCTGGCCGCCTGGCAGGCCAGGGCCCCCATCCCTCCTGCACAAACAGAAACTTCCCAGCTCTAGAGAGGGTTCAGCCAGGAAGGTCTCTGGTGATGGGGGAGGAAACCTTGTCCCCCTCACCCACCTAGCTCCTTAAACATTTCCTCCCATGTTGAAAACTGAAAACAAAATCGAAGCTGAGAATCAGGACCTCCTGGGTTCTAGCCTGGGCTGTGTCCCCTCCACCTTGCTGCCTGCGGGGGCCCTCAGGGGGACCAGAGCAGACCACTCCTCTAGCCTCAGTTTCTCCAGCTGGGAGATGCTGAGGGATGGCCTGCAAGACTGTGGGGTTTCCAGGAGCTCAGCCCTGCCTGCTTCTGCCAGGCACACAGAGCCGGCTTTGTGAGTGTGAATTCCGGGCACCGAAGGAAGGTGGGGAGGTGTGATTAACGCCAAGGAGAAACGCTGCCCTCCTGCCCCAGCTGCTCAGCCTAGGGAATTTGAATAGGAGAAAATGTCAGCCGCGCCTTTACATGTGTAAACTCCCTGGCTCCAGAGGCCCGAGGCCCCTAATGTGGCAGAGCTTGCAAAGCGCCTAATGATTTTTGATAAGGTGCATATGGCCAATTACACTGCCGGATAAGGCCAAAAGTGACTTATGGCTTCTAATGCCCTCACTACATCAACGTCACCCAAATTCGCCCCGTTTAGAGACGTGGGTGTGAGTGGACGTGGAGCCCCAAAGTCCTGGGCCCTTGCTGACCCCTTCAACCTGCACCTCACCCCTCCCAGTGGTGGTCTGCCCCACCCATTGATGGGGGGCAGGGAGCCGGCTTTCCTCCCACCGCTCAAGGAAGAAAAGGATTTAGACCAGGAATGTGGGGGGTGGGGGTGGGGGGTGAGAGATCCCATGTTCTGGCCATGCAAGTTTAGGATTGCCTTCAGGTTCTGACACTGCCTGCCAGGGCCAGAGAATTTGGGGGACTAGAGACTCGATCCCCAATTCTAGAGTTCACCATTCTGAGGTCCTGCTGTCCACAGGCTCCAGCAGGCCCCAGAGTGGGGACTGGGACACCCCGGGTGCTGAAGGCACTGGGAATCAGTGGAGGGTTCCCTCCTTCCTGCTTAAGTCCAACTCAGGAGAGGGGCTCCCCACCCCATTGCTAGGACCTGCCAGCCAGGCCAACTGGCCCAATCTGGGAAGGATCCAGGAGGCAATGCTAAGAAGTGATCCACACCTGGCCTTCCAGGCTTAAAATCCTTGATGACCTGGAAAGCCAGTGTGCCTCAAAATCCAGGTGGATCTGGCAGGGATGTGGAGGGGTAGCATCTCCGGGTGCTCTGGGTCCTCTGCTTGGCTGAAGGCTGCACCCCATGCCATTGGATCCCAAATAAACCTGAGAGAGGCATGACAGTTCAAGTCCCAAGAACAGCCCAGGACAGTTGTCTTGCCTCTTGTGCTCTGGCCAGAGAGGAGGCTTGGGGGCTCTTTTAAGTGGAAATGGAGGCTTCTCAGAAGGGAGGGCAGGTGGGAAGGGGTCAGGGGCTCAAAAGGATGGGACAGCAGGCTGCCCTGCTGTGACAGGCTGTATTGTGTCCACAGGCGCTTTGGCACTAAGTGTGCAGGCTGTGCACAAGGCATCTCGCCCAGTGACCTGGTGCGAAAGGCCCGCAGCAAAGTCTTCCACCTCAACTGCTTCACCTGCATGGTGTGCAACAAGCAGCTGTCCACGGGTGAGGAGCTGTATGTCATCGACGAGAATAAGTTTGTGTGCAAGGACGACTACCTGAACTCATCCAGCCTCAAGGAAGGCAGCCTCAACTCAGGTAGGAGACCTCTGCCCACCCAACCCAAGGCCATGCCCAGCCTGGCATTCCCCACTCTGCCCTGTGTGCATTCTGTGCCCTGCTCAGAGCTCCAGAGGAGCTGGGGAGGGCAGCATTTGAGGCAGTCCTACAGGACACGGGATCGCCTGCTCTTTCTTGCCCTCCTCTGATTCAGGAGCCTTTCCCACGTTGCCCTCCTCCCCTAATTTGGAACCACACAATTGCCCCTTTCTGCTCCATTTTAGCTCCTGGTAATTTCTAACTGCACTGAGAGGACAGTAATTGGAATCTGGAGGAAGCAGAGAAGGGAGAGAAGATCCCAGGCCGGAGGGCATCTATAACCTCCTCCTGTCCCCTCTCCTAAAAGACTGATTCTCCAAAGGGCCTGCCTCCCTCTTACGCAGGCAATAGCTGAAAAGTGCTGAGAGGGCTTGAGAAAGGCCCCTCCGAAGTCCCGGCCCCGCCTGGAGGGAGTGGGCGGGCGCCCGGTCCCTGGGGGAGGGGCTGTCGCGGGGTTTGGGAGGGAACCCAGCGCCGCCGGTCGTGGCCTGGGACGGCAGGAACCCGCTGCCCCACTGGTGAGGCCTTGGGCCGCCGCTGACGCTGCTGTCGCCTTCCCGCTCCGCCCGCCCGCAGTGTCATCCTGTACGGACCGCAGTTTGTCCCCGGACCTCCAGGACCCGCTCCAGGACGACCCCAAGGAGACGGACAACTCGACGTCGTCAGACAAGGAGACAGCCAACAACGAGAACGAGGAGCAGAACTCGGGCACCAAGCGGCGCGGCCCGCGCACCACCATTAAAGCCAAGCAGCTGGAGACGCTCAAGGCCGCCTTCGCCGCCACGCCCAAGCCCACGCGCCACATCCGCGAGCAGCTGGCTCAGGAGACTGGCCTCAACATGCGCGTCATCCAGGTGCGGCCCTTCCCGGGTCACCCCTCCGCAGCCCGCTGCGTCCGAGAGCCGGGAAGCTTGGCGGAGGCTCTCACTGGGCCTACTTGGCTAACAGCGCGCCGAGTTGGGGGTTTGCCGAGGGGCCGACTGTGCGCCCGACGTCAGGGCGGCTGGGCAAACTCCAAACCCCACCTCTGCGGCTCTCCTGGAGGTGTGATCCTAAGCAGGTCACTTCGCCTCTCTGAATTCCGCCCCCACCCCGTTAAAGAAGGGTTTTAAGCCTTGCCGGGGTCAGGAATCCTCCCTTCCTCCCCCCTGAGCAAAGAGCTGAGGTTCTTCCTGTGCCCACTCCCTGCGCCCATGCACGGGCAGACAAACTGCCAGAGCCGGCTGTGAAGCTCAGGGGCCGAGAGCAGAGCCCTGACCGGCGGGATGCTTTTATAAAGCCGTCAGGCCGCGGGTGGGCCGAGGACCAGGAAGCCCAAGTCTTTATGAGTCGCCCCACGGGTCCGCGAAATCCTTCACCCTTGGCTGGTTCGCCGAGGCCCCTCTCCACCCCTCCCGGCCTAATCCGCCTGGCCCCGCCTCAGAGCAGTCTTGGTGCGGAGGAGATGAGAGGACCCAGCGGGGGCAGCCTGGGCAGGGAGAGCAGGAGTGGGCACCCTCGAACCGAGCTCACAACCCCTTCCTTTGTCCCAGGTGTGGTTCCAGAACCGACGGTCCAAAGAACGCAGGATGAAACAGCTGAGCGCACTGGGCGCCCGGAGACACGCCTTCTTCCGGAGTCCGCGGCGCATGCGTCCGCTGGGTGGCCGCTTGGACGAGTCTGAGATGTTGGGGTCCACTCCGTACACTTACTACGGAGGTAAGGGGCACCCGAGAAGCAGAGCCCTACACCTAGGCCCACGCGGCGCTGGGGCTTCCAGGGACCCCTTGCCTCCCTTCTACTCATGTGGGACATTCGGTCATGAACACACCTTCATCGACAATCCTCAGCACTCTTACACCCACCCAGACATCTCCTGGACACAAAATCAGACAGATGGGTTCACTGGCCATGCAGCGATACACAGAAATAAACCCACTTGGTCACGCAGGATACTGGTGCACCCGAGGTTCAGAGACCTCAGAGAAACAAACCTAGACACATGAACACACAGGTGTACTCCACTTCCAAATACACTCACTGACAAACACCCACAGACATCACACCAAGGCAGACACTTTCAAATCCAAAAGCACTCTGGCCCAACTGGACACACAGCCTTCCTGCTGCCCTTGCCCGTTTGCACTAGTGGGGACGCAGGCACTGGAGGGCAGAACCGTTGGTAGGGATGGAGGGGGCCAGAATCTGTCCTGGCCACCTGTTCACTGTCTTCCTTCTCATCAGGTCCCAGCCAGGGACTGAATGCACAGCGTCTGGCTCTGTTAGCCCCGGTGCCTGCAGTTGTTCTTCCTGCCCACTCTCCAACACACCAGGGGTTTTGACGGGGTGGGGGCTGCAAGGATTGAGCCAATCCAGTTATCCCCTCTCCATTCTTGGGGCTACAGGGAGGGTGAGAGGCCGGAGTTTGCAAAGGGGAATTTTGCAATAGGTGTTACCAGGTCTGAGTGAACCCTCCTCTGGTTACCCCATCTTTTCACCCTCCGCCCACCTCCACTTTCCTTCCCACTGGGTGGTGACCCATCCCAAGTTCTCCACTGAGGTTTTGTGAGACCCCTGTGCCTTGGGGCTGTGCAGCACTCCCGCACTGCCCTACATTTACTCGACCTATAGGCTCAGGGAAGGCACCTCCCCCCTTCTGTTCCTGAGCCTCTAATTTGGGAAGCCCCCACGAGCGCCTATGCCTGAGAGGGACCTCTGCCCAGAGAGGTCAGTGCCACAAGCCTGCGAGCACTAGTAGCCCAGTTTGGGGAAAGGAGACTTTGCTTAGAAAAGTTGATTTGGTGGCAGTGCCCAGGTGAGGGCTAGGCACTTGCGAAGGAGGATAGCCGCTTTGGTATGTGCAGGCCGAGGAGGTTAGATCTTCAGGTTGGGCCAGAGCCACAGAAATTACAGACAAAATGCGCTGCTGTGCTTTTTGTGAGAGACTGTGCGATGAAAGGCCCAGACTGAGGGGTACAGATACGCCGGACAGCCCGGATGGTGGATGTATCCCAGGGTCTCCACTCGCGGACTATCTTCACCTAGGTTGACCTCTTCCGCACAAAATCTCGGCCGGCGCAGGGAGGTGGTGGGCGGCACCAGTCCGGAATTTTTCCCCGCCTGGGTAATTAACCAAGGTTTCCCCGAGGACCAGAGTGACCGCACCAATCCCGCCGCCTCCTCTGCCCGCGCGTCTGCTGGATGGGATGAGGGCCTGGACACGCAGGCCCCTCTTTCTCCCAAATGGGATGTGGGGGGGTATGGCTCTCGCAGCCCCCGCGAGGCAGCCCCGCCTAATCCGCGCTGGGAGATCCCGGCGGCGGCGACCGGCAGCGGGCGAGAAAGGGGCCGGGCGGCGGGGCCGGCGGCTCCCCGTGGGAGCGCGGACAAAGCCCCAGCTGCGGCTTTTGTGCCCTTTTCAGACGGCGTTTGTTCCAATTACCTCCGGCCCGGCCGCCATATGGGCGGAGGCGGTGCGCTCCGCGCAGGGGCCGCAACCCTCGTTGGCTTGCCCGCTCTCTGTGGGCTGCGGCAGTCCCCCTTCCCGTAGGAGCCCCAAATTCGCTGCTGCTTACCTTTCCCCTAATTTCTGGGAAGAATGGAATGAGTGGGTTTTAAAAAGTAATTGGCGACCGTTTGTTTTAGCTGTTGCCCAAACCGACCCCAAGCCGCGCCTCCAGACATCCCCCATATGGACTTATTTCTGGGTTTGGAGAGGGAAGGGCGGCGGCAGGCAGGGGGCGTCCAGAACTTGCCCTGGTGACTGAGACCCCAAGACGAGCAGGGAATGTAGGTTTGAGGAGACCCCGGCTTCTGGGCACGCTGCTTTTCCCGCCGTATAAGGCGGGTTATTGTCGCCCGTGCAAGCTGCAAGGTGCTCCTTTCCTGGGGTCCCACGCCTCAGTTCTTATGGGGGCTGGCCTAGGGGGAGAGGAGGAGGTTGTCCAGAAGGATCTGGGGGAGGGGGCTATAGGAGGAGGTCAGAGGGTTACTGCAGAAGCAGTTTGTTGAGAATGCGCGGGCATATAACCTGGAGGTCCTGCACCCCTGATTCTGTGGGTGAAAAGCGCACTTGCTCATTTTTCTGGAGAGCCCATAGGGCTCACTGTCCCCAGATGCTTCAGAACTTTGGTGTCCTGGATACCCCCAGAATAATACTGGAGGACCGAGTCTTTACCCCAAGGCTCCGGTTTCACTCTGGATACGACCGGGAGAGTACTCGCGGCCCCACCCCCTCTCTCAAATTGCTGGGGCCCAGCTTTCTCCAGGTCAGGCGAGGCTGGTACAACTGGTCGGACCCCCACATTGACCAGGAGGGACTCAAGGCTGAACTTGGCAGAGCAAAGGGCCACGCCAGGTTGGCGGAGTGCGGGCGGGTGAGGGAGAGGGTGCTGAGGCCGCCTTGAGCACCGCGCGTCCAGGTTACCGCGTCCCCTGCCCAGCTCTCCAGCCCCTCGGTGCCCCGGTCCCGGCTTCTCCTCGGGCTAGTGGTCGCTGGAGCTAGACCATTTAGCGCTCTGGCCTCGGTCCGCCCCTGCATCCCCGCCCTGCCTCTGTCCCGGCCTCTCAAGCCTCCAGCGTCTCTGGCAGACTCCTGACGTGTGTCTCCAGTCTCTGGGCGAATCTGTCTCCCCTGACCGCTTTCCTGGGCTCCCATAGGGCATTTCACTTGTGTCTCTAAGCGCATAGCTGCCCCATCTCTCTTTGCATCTCCAAGACTATCTCTGTCTTACTCGACCTCGAATCTCTCTGGGTCTCCAGCTCTTTTTGCCTCTGCCCTCACCCCCACCCTACCCCACCCCCAGTCTGGGAACTCCGTGCTGCGCCTCCTCTGCTCCCCTTTCCCTCTATTCTCTGCCAATTTCTGTCCCTGTTCCTTGCTGTTTCCATGTGTCTCGCTCTCTGTGTATCTCTCACTGACCCTGGGACGCTGTCTGGACTCCTTCACTGTCTCTGTGTCGCGGCTGTCGCATCTCTCTCCGCCGTTACCCGCCAGGAAGCTCTGACTCTGAAGTCTCCGCACCTTTCTCTGGGTTCCCCACCTTCTCTGAGTCCCTCCGTCTCCTGCCGGGTTTCTCACGGTTTGAATCTCTCCCTCTCGGTGTCTCTCCTCTCTCTCCCCCCAGCGTCCCCCTGGGTCTGCGTCCCCTGCCTCCTCGCGCAGCCCACTGCCTGGGTCTCCGCAGGCCTACCCCGGGCCTCTCTCTAACCTTGGGTTGGTGTCGCGCTGTCGCCCCTGAAGATCCTCTCCCGCGGCCGCGTCTCTGTGCCCCGGCCACGCGCGCCCATCTCTAGCCTCCGACTCCCTGGGACGCTCCCGCGGTTCGCGCGAGTCCCCCGGCGACCCCTCCGCCTCTCACGTCTCCTTCTCCCTCCCCGCCCGCTCCCGCAGACTACCAAGGCGACTACTACGCGCCCGGAGGCAACTACGACTTCTTCGCGCACGGCCCGCCGTCGCAGGCGCAGTCCCCGGCCGACTCAAGCTTCCTGGCTGCCTCGGGGCCCGGCTCGACGCCGCTGGGCGCGCTGGAGCCGCCGCTCGCCGGCCCGCACGCAGCCGACAACCCCAGGTTCACCGACATGATTTCGCACCCGGACACGCCGAGCCCGGAGCCGGGGCTGCCCGGCGCGCTGCACCCCATGCCCGGCGAGGTGTTCAGCGGCGGGCCCAGCCCGCCCTTCCCCATGAGCGGCACCAGCGGCTACAGCGGACCCCTGTCGCACCCCAACCCCGAGCTCAACGAGGCCGCCGTGTGGTAAGGCCGCCGGGCCCGGCCGCCCCCGGACGCAGCCTCCCGAAACCAAAACGCCCGACGCGGACGGGGCCGCGGCCCGGGTCTCCCTCAGGCGTTCTCTCTCGGGGCCGCACCCAGCCGGCAGCTGCTCCTCGGCCGGATGCGCAGGGGGACCGGCCCCCGTCTGCACCCCGCGGGCTCTCCGGCACCCCAGCCCGCTGCCAGCGCTCTCCCGGCAGTCGTGAGCAATTTCTTGGGACCAAAGTCAATACTCCGTAGGGGCAAGAGATTTCAGGCACGCTCCAGACTTCCCCCGACCCCCGCGCCCACCCGCTCTTCGGACCAAGAGAGGGTTGAGTTCAAGGGGCGGAGACGATTTTTTCCCCCTCTCTGCAATCCGAGTGGCATTTTGTAATCTTATTTCCCACTCTGCTTTCCCCTTCTTTGAAACAAGATGATAAGGAAAAGAGAGAAATTGAAGGAAAGGAGAGGAAAGGGGGCAAAATGAAGAGAGAAGATGGAGAGAGGGCGCGACAGAGAGAAACACGCTTGCACAGGGGGTGTCCCTGGGAGGAAGGCATATCCACCTGCGCGCTGGCGCCCCCTGGTGGCCAATCTTGAGGATCAAGGCCAACTTTTGTAGGAAGGGGGAACGGTCCGGACTTCGCCAGCCCAGGGCCAAGACCCAGACCCTCTTCCTCATTTTGACATATATTTTGAGCCTGGGGGTCCAGGCCAGACTGGAACACTCGCCCACCCTGCCCTCTTCCTGGGCAAGGCGCCAAGATTTCTGGGCTCTGGCCCACAGACCACCCTCCCTGCCCCGGGGCCTGGAGGCTGGGTAGTCAGGATGTACAGTATTATACTTTTTTGGAAGTTGAACGCTTCTAGTTTCCTTATTTTGTATAAAGAAGAAACAAATAAAGTATGTTTTTGTGTTTACTGTTTATTTATTGTACTCTAGTTATCTGGGGTTGGACATTTTTATATTTTTAAGAGGGTGGGCTGAGTGAGGGAGGGGAGGCAGAAAGTGATTTACCTAAAAAAAACACAAAAAACAAAAAATAAACTTTTTAAAAAGAAAGATTAATAAAAAAAATTCTTTTTCCCTCAGTGCTGTGTGTTTCTCTTTTTTGGTCCATGCCTTCATAGTCACTCAGAGTAAATGGAACTATTCTTTCCTCTGGTTCCTGTCTCTGACCTAAACCAGTGATGATGGGTGTAAAGACCTCTCCTCACCAGAGGGGCAGCTGTTTAGGTAACAAGTAATGAAAGTGGCTGCCTTTTTTGACAGCTGCTGTGTGCCAGAGATGATATCTCCCCATACTTTATGTGACATGATGATCTAACACAAGCCTGCCTATCACATAGTAGGCCTTCAAAATATTTGACGAATGATTGTTTGTGTGATTTGTTTGTGCCTGGTATATCATGAGAATTCTAGCTTCATTCTGAATTAGGCTCTATGAGCAGGCTAGTAAGGTGGTGCTAGTACAAAGCTATGTTAGGAGAGAAGTGCCCCAGGGAGAGCAAGGCATTTATTCTCAATTCTTTTGCAGTGCGTGCTTGTGTCATTAGGTAACGCAGCATGATGGAAAGAGTGTTAGATGAGATTTAGGAGACCTGAGGCCACTACCTAAAGACAAGTCCCTCCCTCTCTTTGCCTCAGTTTCCATGCTTATAAAAGCAGGCATTGGAGGGGGTGCTTCCTACATTCCCTTCCAACTCAGACACTGTAGGATTAGAAAAGCAGATGAGATAAAAACAAATAGAAGAGCATCCTGTATTTGAATCCTTCTTCACCCAAGCTTGCTGGTTGTGGACCTTGTGTTCTAGGGGCAGCAGAGAAAAGATGGGGGACAAGGGAGATGTGGTGGTGAGCCACCAAGAAATGGGCATTCGTGCAGAGCCCTCGTAACACGTCTTTCTTTTGTGGGGACTTCACAAGAAAAATGCAAGGTGGCTCAGCTTTTTCTTGTCTTTCCTTATAGTAGATTTGTCTTTATCAAACAAATTCCACTTACTCATTGTGGAAAATTTAGAAATTTCAGACAAAGGGAAGAAAATGTGGTCACCAAGAATCTCAGGCACCCTGGTATTGTAGCTGATACATCTCCTTCCAGACCTTTTTTTTTTCACTTTGAAACTCAAGATGGTATTCTGCACACCATGGGGTTACCTTCTCTGATTCACTCATATCTTCCAAATGCATAAATTGATCATAGACAGAGCTATGTCATCCTCTCTGGTGACTGGCTGACCTGCCCTTAAAATGAGCCATCCTTTTTTAGTTTTTGTTTTCATTTTAACCAATTCTTTGTTGGGCATTTGGGTGTGTTGCCAGTTTTTTACCACTTTAAATCCACACTGAAATAAATATCCTTGTAGCTAAATCTTTGGACTTGTATCAGGGTAGGTATTATTTGCCCTATTAGGATGCTCACAGAGGTCAAGAGACTTGCCCAAGGTCACACCGCTGCGGAGTGGCAGGGCTGGGATTTGAGCCCATGTGTGTATTGGGTTGTGTTCCTACTTCAGTATGATGCCCTGACTGTAATGGATTACAGAGGCCAAGAGAGAATTCGCAAGATGGGCCCCATCTCTGCCAGGCCCCCAAATGTTTTCTGGGTACATGTGCATTTTACAGATGGGCTCAGTTAGAACTGTCACCAAGAAGAGGTCTGAAGTGTGTGAAGAGATCAGGAGAGCAGAGGACCGCGCTCACTCCCCTGCAGAGAGGCGGAGCCAGAGTGGGGGAAGAAGAAGGGGAAATGAAAGAGATAGGCTGGCCCCCCATAGCTGTGCCAGCTCAGCTACTGCTCAGACCCCCAGCTGCCTACCCAGGTGGGAAGCCTCTGCCTAGAGGTGACAAGGAACTCCATCATGGGGCAGAGCAGAGCTGCAGGACCAGAGCTCCCTGTAGTCCTGCCCCTCCCAGCCCCTCCACCATGCACACACGCATACACACACACATCAGACAGACACATGTGCTCACACACATGCACATTCACACATGTGCACAAACAGAAATACCAGCAAATACATGGACATACTCTTGTGGATGCATGTACATGTACAGACAGGTGCATGATGATAAGCACACACTCCACACACATATGCACACATAGGTACATGCAAACACATGCACATTAAGACCCCTACAGCCTTGTGGGTGTGTACACCACACCCTTGTATGGATACGCAAGTGCATACAAGCACATACACACATGTCTACACATACATGCTTTGAACCTGCATGACTAGCCCCTGTGGACACACACAAACCCAGACATCATGTCCTTGTGCACATGTGTGCACTTACATATACACAGAGCATATACTTGCTGTTCCCATGCCCTTTGCATGCCCACAGCCTCAGTCTGGGAGAACTGGGAGTGGGAGAAGCCCACTGTTGAATGAGCAGATATTTGAATAACCCTGGGGTGGTCCCATCAAAATCTCTGAGGGTGGCTCCAGAAACCAGATTCCAGGAGGGAAGCTCATCTCCAGGGTTATGATCAGTATTTAGGGCTAATTTCCAGGGCCCTTCTTCTGAGTCTTTGTGAGTGAGGAGGGATGGAAGTAGAGGTCACCTAGGAGTTGGATGGGGGCAGAAAAGAGCAAGTGCCCTGGGGCCTGGGAGACTCTGGATGGCCACTCATCACCGTTCTGAGCCTTGGTTTGCTCCTCTGAGAAATGGGCTCATGACAATTACATTGGAGAGATGCAACTGTACCCATGGCCAAGGTTCAGAAAATCTAGGTCCCAAATTCAATCCCCACCCCGACCTCCACAGATACACACACCAGCTTCCTTGGAGGATAAGGGGAAGGGGTTGGGGAGGGCTTTGTTAAAATCAGTTCAAATCCACCCCCTCTCCTGTGAGCTCATTTCAACTCCCCCAAGTGCCTACTGGGCCCTGGGACCTGGGGGGATAAACACCACCCTGACCCCACCTCGGTGCAGTACCCCTGCAGGTGTCACATCAGGGCACTGAGTGTACTGCATTAGGGAGGGGTTCCTAAGGCAGGGAGGGGGAAAGGGGAAAAGTCCTCCTGCCCTGAAATAAACAGCCCCCAGAGCACAAGAGCTGACCCCCTGTGCTTAGGACTAATTTAATCTGTCCCTGGACACCCACAACCATTTCTCAAAGTGTGGGAAGAAGACGGTGCTTGCTAAAACACACATCCCTTTCCGTGGCTGGAACCCTCTCTGGCACAGAAACCAAGGAGCTTTGCATCTGTCAAGCTCCCCAAGTGATCCCCATGCCCCTCTTGCAGGACAAAGTCTTATCCAAAGCAACTTGATCCTCACAATGCCCTGCAGTGTTAGCTGAGTTATCCCCACTTTGCAGATGAGGAGATGCAGGCCCCTGGGGTGAAGTGAGCTGCCTGGGGTCACCAGCCAGGGAGGAGCAGAGCCAGGTTTTGAATCACAAACTTCTGCTTCCAGAAGCCAAGTTGTGCCTGGACCCAAAACAGAGCCTGGTACAGGTAAGGCCTCATTCCACGCGGAGTCACCACAGACACGAGTGAATGACTGTGCTCCAGCCGCCACGCAAAGAGGTTCTTTCAGAAAGACCCTAATGAATACTCGTACCGGTAGCAACCTCCCTGGATATGGTTTAAAACTCCTTCCGGTTTTAAAGCTAGCCAGAGGGCAAAGGGCATAATGGAAATTGCCAAGGTCAACAGACAAAAGGACCTGCAGCTTCTCCTTGCTGACCCTTCTTTCTCTCTCCCTTCCTCCCTCATCCCTTTCCTCCTCCATTAATGCATCTGTTCATCTCCTATTTTTCCATCACCTGTATTAATTATAATTTAAAAATAAAAGATCTTCAAGAGGGGAAAAAAATACTCCAAAGTGTGCAGGTAAGGATGCTAGCCAGTCCCTGGCCGTGCCCTCCAGCCCTGGGGAGAAGGGGCTGTCCCCTCTCCCTTGCTGCCCCTAGGCTGTAATCCTGGTGACACTGGACAGTTAAACCACATGTATTTCAGCCCCCATCAAGCATGCCCTCCCTGCTCCCCATCCCTATCCTCCTGCCCCGAAATAAACACCCCCCACAGCACAAGAGCTGACGCCCTGCGCTTAGGACTAATATTTAAAATGCAGAATGGCTGTGGAGAGCTCCTGCTCCCAAGCCTTGTCGTGCAGTAAAAAGATATAAACAGAATAAATTACCTATCCAGCTCAGATTATGAGAATACCCATCTCCTGACCGGAATTTTAAGTCCTGCCTCCCTAGTAGCGCCGCACATGGCTGATTTATGGAAACCCAAGCACTTCTCTGCATATTTCTTCTGTTCAGCCAAGTGACCGAGTTTACCCTTCCTATGCCATTAGCGTTATTAACACCTGGGCAACCGATCATTGCAAATGGGCCATTTCCGTGATGAACAGAAACCTCTCCCACCACTTCTCTGGGGCCTTGCTGCCTCTGGTCTCCCCTTCCTACATTTTGTGCCAGGGCTCAGGACCACCCCTGCTTCCCTCTAGTACCTGCTGGTGGGTACTAGATCCCTCACCCCAGCAGGTGCCCGTGGCTTTCTGGCAGGCATGCAGAAAATGACATTACTCTTATTTTTCTTTGTCAGAGAGTACCCCAGATGGGGGACAATTCCCCCACTGGCCAGAGAAAGAAACTGAGGCTTGGAAAGGGCAGAAATTGGCCTAAGTTCCCATGGAGTTCACAGCAGAGTTGGGACCCGAATTCTGATCTTCTAACCCCTTGATGCTCAAAGTGTGGTCCACAGACCAGCAGCGGCCTTATCTGAGAGCACGTAGAAATGCAGTCTCAGCCGCCTCCTCTGCCCCCGACACAACTTCAGAACCAGGACGAGCCAATCCCCAGGGTACTGGAGTGCCCCTTTGGATTTTGGAGTATTTTCTTAGAAACACACCCAAATCATCACCAATCCCTTTTTCACTGGAGGAAAACCTTAGGGTGCAAATTCTCTTTGCTCA